ATTTGAACTCCAATTTTTCCCAATACGCGGTGTATTTGAACGGGAATTACAAATATATGTAGGGAATTTGACCTGACCAAAACGTCAAAATCCAAATTCCCGGGGGTATGCCCGGGGGGGGGGATGTCAAGGTTTCGATTTGATTCGCGCATTAAGTTCGCTAATAATAGAAATATAAAGCACGCCACATATATTAATGAAAAAATTCGCTTACCGCAACTCGTTTGACACGTTTTTATATCCGATATTTTCTCAGTTTTACAGCCTTCTAGCGTATTTGGACACGCATAGCATGCTGCAAGCAATGTGATAGAGATGTGACGAGACACCAATCAGAAGGACAATTTACCAGAAATTGTCAGTTAAACAAATTATATACCAGAAGGACAATTCTTCTTTACCTTTTTTGCATACGTCTTTGGCAAAGCAATGCAGTAGATAATTACCGTGGACTGTTCGATGAAGAAAGAAACTCGATGAGTAAGCGGTTTGCTTTATAAGCAAACGTCTAGATTTGTGATTGGTCTTAGATATTTAGTGGGGATTCCCCTTCGTAAAATAATATGCATGGGATCTGGAATGCTCAGTGATTAATTTGCATATTGGAATGCTCAAGTTTGGCACCGCATTATATATTGCGGTGCCCGTGCCATTTTTGGCACCGTATTATATTCTGCCTGCGAGTTTGTTAGTTTGTCCGTTTGTTTGTTAATTTGGTGGTTTGTTCGAATCAAAACGTTTCCTTAATATCCTAGTAAAAATTCCTTGCATGTGCACTGAATTTATTCATTTTTGCGGGAAAATTAATTGATCTTGGACTCTCAGGACCGACTGTCGGCTGAGCTTTATTGCCGGTTTTATTAGCCACACAAAAACAAAAATACCACTGTTCGAATCAGCGTAAAACGTTGTATTTATGAATGGAAAATCAATTTCAAAATTGATTTCTGTTTCAACGATTTCTGGCTTTTGGAAGATAAGCCGCTCAAAATAATCCTTTCATGTTTTCTGAATTCCTTTTTTCGAGGAAAGTTTTCTTTTCGATTAATCTCTGACCCTCACGATTGACTTTTCGTTGCGCCTTAACTCTGCTTTTATGCGGCCATGAAAACCAAGAATACCACTGATTCAGCGTAAGAAATTGTACCTACGGATGTCAAATGTATTATTTAACAAAAGCAAAATTGTATTGTTCACATTGTTTCGGCCGTATACCAGTGGATTTTGTCACATTTCTCTTTATTTTTTCAGTATAGTTTGAGCCCAAAACATTGTATTTTGAAGGTTTTAATGTGCAGTTTTAATAAGAGAAATTGTCAGTATTCTTCACATATCGTTCAAAATGATTCAACTAATTAAAAATGCAGTCCGTTTGATCCCTGATAACTTCGGAATTATTGGTTTCCTTGTTTTCTGGCGTATGCCAGTGGATTCGTCTCACTTTTCTCCTCATTTTAATCAAGTATTTTAAGCTCAAAATATTTTATTTCGAAGGTTTTAAAGTGCATTTTTATACTCCTAACGCATGGACCAACAGGCGGCCGACAGGAGTAGTCCGTGAGTTGTGACCCGACTTTCATTTGACATATCTTAGATCTGAAATATTTTGACGGGAACTAACACTTTTAGCACGCTGAGTACAAATCCGAAAAGTTCCCACTCCGTAGACCCGCAGTTTTCCCACAAAATGCTACATATTATATATATCATTATCTACAGTACAGGGTGTCCCAAAAAAAGTAGTCACCAGTAACAATTTAATTGTTAGAATTTGAATGCCTTAGCACTCTGTTGGTTCTCACGAGTGCATAAATGATTGACATAAGTAAATTTTACCATAAACAAGCTATTTAAGAAGCTGCTTTACCTTCCCAAGAGCAAAAAATCGCGCACTTTACAATGAGATGTTCGTAACTAAATTCTAATACATGTAGCTTCTCCGAATATTTTACGCATCATTACGTAATTTACGTTCAGCTTTTTGGTAGGGCATTCAATTTTAACAATAAGTGATTCCAATAGTTTTCGGGGTTTTTTGGGACACCCTGTACAATAATTTCACGACAAATTTCATTTCATTGTTCAACGACACGGATCGATGACAATGACGATACATGATTAGGGACCGCTCATTATTTATTGTACAGGGGGGGATTGAGGAGAAACTGGGGGGGCCTTCAAATTTTTCGGAACCTGAAAGGGGGGGCTTTGAAAAAATACAGAGAGACGAAAGAAGGGGGGCTTTGAAAATATTTACCAGTTTGAAAAAACAGTAGTTTTAAAAATGTATCACAAAACAACTTAACAACAAATAACAATATTTAT